GCCATTTTACGGCAGTACAGTAGAAGCCATTTTAAGGCACAACAGGCTGTATCTTAACAGTACACACACCCCGAGGGGTGTTAGGGGTATATTACCCCCACAGTATTTTTCTCCATCAAGTAAGTTTGATTGAAATTGCTGGAGGCATTTCAGAGTTATGCTAGAATACACACTCACAAACAGACACACAACCATTATATATTTTCTCTACTGATTAAAGATACCGGCTGCACTTTGAGCGGGAAAGCAGAGAGGAAGTGGAGCGGAGGAAAAAAATTGCCCGGGAGAAAATCTTGGAACCGGTGCCAGAAATTGAGACAGAGGTGGACATAGAAGATGTTTACAAGACTGGCTCAGGTAAGGTGAAGATGATCAAGGAAAAGCTTCTTGGTGGGTGGGTGAATCTGAAGGGCTTCCCTCTCTTGGGCCATTTCTTGTTCTTAACAAACTACTTTTCCTCGTCTCTGGAGGTCTTGCTTCAGGAAGGAGAACCATTTACGACGAGGAGCTTTTAATTACCTGAAACGCATGAAGGGGTCTGAAGGTTCAGCACAAACATTCTGCTCCTCCGTCTGTTTCTAAACGCACATAAATCTCTTAACTGGGCTTTTTTTCCCAACAAATGGCCTGCTGGCTGAAGAAAATTGGGAGTTCCAATCCCAAGAATATCTGGAGGCCATGAATTTGGGAAAGGGCTGGTTTCGGATTCCAGATCCTGGTTTTGCCCAATTGCGCTGATGCTAAATTAAGAGCCTTTTACCATTTTCCCATTCTTAATACAGATAGTCCTTGACTTAGGACCACAACTGAGCCCCAAATTTCTGTGGCTAAGCGAGACAGTGGTTAAGTGAGTTTTGCTCCATTTTACGACCTTTCTTGCCACGGCTGTTTAAGTGAATCGCTGCAATAGCCAAGTTAGCAACAGGGCTGTAAAGTGAATCTGGCTTCCCCATTGACTTTGCTTGGGGCACTGCAGCCGTCTTAAATACCAGCCAGTTGCCGAGTGTCTGAATTTTGATCAAGTGGTCATGAGGATGCTGCAACCGTCATAAGTGTGAAAAATAGTCATAAATAACCTTTTTTTCCGGTGCCATTGTGTAACTTCAAACAGTCACTAAATGACTAGTTGCAAGTCGAGGACCACTTGTGATGAGGTCTCTTCTTCTCAATCAAAATTAATTTAATGTCATTACAGTAGCAACCACAGAACTGCTTATCAAGACATTTCTCTCCCTTCTCTAACTTGACTTGCATTGCCTGATTTTTCAGATGCAATCTTAGCGAAGGAAGAGCATAAGAGGTTGTGTACATTTCTTGATTCAGAATATTTGTGACCTCTTAGAACTTTATTCTCACTTCCTTTGTGATGGCGGCAAGTTTTCCTGACTCTTCTTGTGTTTTTCTTTTTTCAATAGTACTAGATTTTCCTAAACGTCCCCCTTGGAATTACCAAATGAGCAAGGATCAGTTGTTGGCCCGAGAGGAGAAGTGTTTCCGGGAATATCTTGAGAATATCTATAGTACATTCCAGCCCAACCAGTTGAGTTACTTTGAGCACAATCTGGAGGTAAGCCCTTGGAAGATCGAAGCTGCATCATCACCCCCATTTGAAGCCCATTTGAAGCCCCCAGAATGCATTTGAGACCTGCTTTCTCTTTTGGGGAAGAAAATGAATGCCTTAAACCTCTAAAAGAATTGGTGGTTCGAATCCCTAGCACCGTGTAACAGAGTGAGCTCCCGTTTCTTATCCCACTTTTTGCCAACCCAGCAGTTCGAAAGCATGTAAAAATGCAAGTAGAAAAAGGGGGACCATCTTTGGTGGGAAGGTAACAGCGTTCCCTGTGCCTTTGGCATTTAGTCATGCTGGCCACATGACCACGGAGACATTTTTGAACAGCATTGGCTCTTCTGCTTTGAAACGAAGATGAGCATCGCCCCCTAGAGTCGGGAACGACTAGCACATATGTGCAGAATGCAAGGCAAGACTGAGTACAGGTACTCCTCGACCAAATAATTATAACGGATTTCTGTGGCACATTATAACAGTCATAAGTAAGGGGCCATGGTGGCTCACGGGGTAAGACATCGGGCCTGCGCACCGCTGAGGTCGGTGGCTCGATCCCCATGAGTGAATAAACCATGTAGGGGCAAGAAAGGAGCCTCCCCTGAATGCCTACCAACATTCAGGTGTCCCATGGGTAAAGATAAAACCGCCCGAAAAAATTCCTTTCAGAGGAAGCCAGCCACCTCGGTGATCCCTGGCTAACACGTGCCATAAGTTTTAAAAAAAACCAAACCCAGTCATAAGCTGAGGCATCCACATGATCAACTAAATTTGTTACAGTTGTTAGGTGAATGCTGCAGTTAAGTGAATGGCGCAATCATTAATAACAATAGCACTTAGACACTACTTCATAGTGCTTTTGTAGCCCTCTCTAAGCAGTTTACAGAATCAGCATGCTGCCTCCAACAATCTGGGTCCTCATTTTACCCACCTCAGAAGGATGGACGGCTGAGTCAACCTTGAGCCAGTCAGGAACAGCAATGGGAAGAGTTAACCCGCAATACTGCATTCTAACCCCTCCGCGCCCATGGCTCCTTAAGTGAACCCATTGGCCACAATGGGCGCTTTTTGCTGGAAAC